AGTAATTGCCTCAGGAGGATTCGCTCCCATTCCTGCCCGGCTTCTCAGCCTCCCCATCTCTCAGAATCAATTACAAAATCCTCGTTCTCACCTTCAAAGCCCTCCATAGTCTTGCTCCCCCCACCTCTCCGACCTCCTAACCCCGTATCAGCCTGTCTGCTCCCTCTGCTCGGCCGACACAGGCTGCTTCAGGTCCCCCGCACTTCCCGCCCCACCATTGGTGGTCAGGCATTCAGCCTTTCTGCCCCCACACTTTGGAACTGTACCCCGCAATCCCTCCACCTCACCCCCTCTCTTCCCTCTTTCAAGTCCTGTCAAAGACCTTCCTCTTCGACCGTGCCTTCGGCCACCCTCTCACCTCCACCCCCTGGCCTCTACCCCTCCTGACCCCAACTCCCAGCTCGGGTCCAAAACCCCCTGACTGTCTAGCACCTTGGGACGCCTTTCCGATGTGAAGGGCCCTGTACAAGTGTCATTTGTTATCGTTGTTAGTTTCGCCCGCAAATATGCAGTCAATTCACTTTACAGTCTATTCTGTGAAGCGCTTTGAGACGTCAAGACGATGTGAAACGCGCTATATCAAATGCAAGGATTATTATTATGTTGTTCATATTGCACCAGAACTGCAACAAAGCGCATGTGGTGGAATATTTTTGCTTGCGTTTGCTTTGCTGAGGGATTATTCCAAACATTTATTAGTCTTGAAGTCAAAGATTTTTTTCCCCGATAATCATAACCATTTCAAATTACAAGCCCAAGAGTGAGAGAAGGAGACCAGAGCGACTGTTGCATGGATGAAGGATGTCCTGTAACAGCTGACACTTTAGCTAAGTGACACAAGAAACGTACTGTTACGTGTGGTCAGATGGATAAGCCTTTGAAACTCAACACAGAATGTGAGCGCGTGTTAGGGATTCCTGGCTCAGAGAATGGTCATTTGAGGACACATTGGAGCTTTGAGACCGAATACAGAGAGATGGCTATGTGAGTAGCTTCTAGTCCCTGAATGGTGCCACTGATGGACTATAGAGGGGTAACAGGGCTTTGGGTCGCTGGTCTGCGTGAGGGGTGCATGGACATATACACAACCACGTTACAATTACAGGACACTTGTCATTTGACCACAGCAAGACAACAACAACAACAAATGAGGTTTGTGTAGCGCCTTTCACTCAGGTGGAGCTCACCGGAGTCCTGTTTACCGAGATATCTGTTGAATTTGGGACTGAAGTGATTTTTGATTCCAGTGATATTTAATGGAAAATGCAGTTTCTGATCGAGGCAGTTTCTGTTCTCTGTCTGGATCCCTGCATTGTGGTCGCCTCGTCAATTAACCGTTCGAGGGCGAAGCACATAGGAATGTAACGGGCTGGAAAAGTCCATTGCAGTCCATCTGTCTGGTCCCAAAATAATGAAATAAATTGTATATCTTCCTCACAACTTCATCAGCTAAACCCCGGAATTGAATTCCTTCCAAAAGAGCTGTCTAATTCCCTCTTGAATTTTCTAACTCAGTCTGCCTCGCCTGGCTCTCTGGATAGTGTATTCCACATATTTACTGCTCTCTGCAGAAGTTAATTAAATCAACAGAAATCTAGCTTTCTGCATCCAGGTGAAAGAGCCTTGAAAATGTTTTTTTTTAAAAAGATTACAGTTTGACACATTCTTTTTAAAAATATATTATTATAAAAGGCAACTGGTGTTGGCCAAGATCTCTGTTGTGGAATCCTGCAACAAGACTTCTGAGGAGTAACAATAAAACCATCTTCTTGCCTTTCATCTGGGCTCCTGCTATTCCTGATACAGAGCATTAGAATACTGAGGTATGCAAAAGAACTGAAGGCACATCCCCATCACAGGCCTCCCATTCACTGCTGATATTTCAGATGGAACTCACCGACAAACAGAGGGAGCTTTTTTTTCCCTCTAACTTGCAACTACAGAAGGAACCCCACAGACCCTCTTCAAATGGTAATTTAACGGCACAACTTCTGGTTGACGAGCAACTTTTTCTCAACAGAAAACATGGTAATCGCTCTCCTCAGCAGTGAACATGACAGTCCCGATCCCAGCAGGAGACTTTCACTGCATAGGTTCTGCAAATCAGTGATTTGTTCTTAATGGTTAAATTGGTTTCTCTTGTTACAAATGCATTCAGTGAGGAGAACTCTTTTTATTTATTCTTTTCCTCCAATTTTCTCCGTTTGCCTGTTTCCCTGTACTCGTGTCGTTGACCCCTTTGTCCCTGTGCTTTGGTTAAGATTCAATGGTGTTCTCTTGGTACATCACCCAATTGGCTATTCTTCACATGTCAGCTTCGAGATTGTGCTTTTCGACTGTGGGTGGAGGGCAAAAGGAACTCAGAGTCTGACCTGTTATTACCCAATGTCCATACAATACACCTTCCAGCAAGAGTCATTAGATAGTGATCAGGAGAGCCACGCTGTCTGATTTCTTCCCCTAACCCGGGGGGACATGGTATAGACACCTCAACTGAGAGTCACATAACATGAAAGCTTGAGCCTCTCTCTCCTGTGTTCACAATTCCACATCCATGAATTCACTCTATACAGTATGTGTGGAGTATAAATTGTTATACAATGTGATAAAAACTGCTAATACTTTGCACCAATTTACCCATATTACAAATTACATTTGTATAGCACCTCTCAAGTTGGGAGGACGTCCCAAGGCGCTGGGTGAAGCCATCTATCTTCTAACTCCCCACCTACCAGCATCTCACTTTTATGCGTTCTTGTCCTGAAGATGCCAGGATTACGAACCCTCCCTGTGGTTAAATACAATTTACATTGATATTACATCACTGTTCCTGTCGGGAGGACATCTCAAAGTGCTTTACGCAACTTGCTGGGCACCCAAGCTTCTGTGTATGGTGGGGGTGGACAGGGGGTGGTGGAGGCTGAGGGGGGAGGGAAGATGTCTAAAAAGCACACTCAAAGATCCGTCTTGGGATGAGTTTTGAAAGGGGAGCTAACTAGAGCAGTTAGGGAAAGTGTAAAATTAAAAGAAATGACCTATAATACTGCCAAAAAGAGCAGTAAACCTGAGGATTCGGAGGGCTTCAGAGACCAACAAAGAAAAACTAAGAAACTGATTAGGGGGAGAAAATGGATTATGAGGGCAAACTAGCTAGGAACATAAAGACAGAATGCAAGAGTTTTTCCAAATACATAAAGAGGAAGAGACTATCAAAAGTGAATGTGGGTCAATTACAGGCAGAGACAGGAGGAATTATAATGGGGGATAAAGATATGGCAAAGTCATTAAACAAATACTTTGGTTCTGTTTTCACATTAGAAGACACTGAAAACTTACCAAAAATAGAGGAGAACCAAGAAGCTAATGTTAGTGAGCAATTTAGGGAAATTAACATCAGTAAAGAATTAGTACTAGGGAAACTGTTGGGATTGAAAAATGACAAATCCCCTGGACCTGATGGTATGCATCCCAGGGTTTTAAAAGAGGTGGCTACTGAGATAGTGGATGCCTTGTTTTTGATCTTCCAAAATTCTCTGGATTCTGGAACGGTTCCAATTGATTGGAAGATTGCAAACGTAACACCACTATTTAAGAAGAGTGGGAGAGAGAAGATGGGGAACTATAGACCAGTCAGTCTGACATCGGTGGTAGGGAAAATTTTAGAATCCTTAATTAGGGATGTCGTTGTGGGGTACTTAGAGGACCACAACATGATTAGGCAGAGTCAACATGGCTTTACAAAAGGGAAGTCATGCTTAACAAATCTTTTAGAGTTTTTTGAGGATGTAACTAGCAGGTTAGATAGGGGGGAACCAGGAGATGTAGTATATTTAGATTTTCGGAAGGCATTCAACAAAGTGCCACATAAAAGGCTGCTACGCAAGATTAAGGCCCATGGAATTAAAGGCAATATATTAGCATGGATCGAAGAGTGGCTAACGGGAAGAAAACAGAGAATAGGGATAAACGGATCTTTCACAGATTGGCAGGATGTGACCAGTGGAGTACCACACAGATCAGTGCTTAGGCCTCAACTATTTACAATCTGTATCAATGTTCTAGACGAGGACAAAGAACTTAAAATATATAAATTCGCAGATGATACTAAGCTAGGTGGGAGAGTAAGCTCTGAGGATGACACAAAAAGCTTACAAAGGGATATAGATAGGCTAGGGGAGTGGGCGAGTAGGTGACAGATGGAATATAATGTGGGGATGTGTGAAGTTATTCACCTAGGTATAAAAACAGAAAAGCAGATTATTTTCTAGAAGGGGAGAGACTAGATAGTGTTCAGAGGGATTTGGGTGTCCTTGTACACCAGTCTCAAAAAGTTAGTATGTAGTTGCAGCAAGCAACTAGGGAGACTAATGCCATGTTGGCGTTTATTGCAAAAGGGTTAAAATACAAGAGTAGGGAAGTCTTGCTACAACTGTATAGGGCCCTGGTGAGACCGCACCTAGAGTATTGTGTGCAGTTTTGGTCTCCTTATTTAAGAAAGGATATACTTGCCATAGAGGGGATGCAGCGTACATTCACTAAGTTAGTTCCTTAGATAAGGAGGTTGACCTACGAGGATAGATTGAGTAAACTAGGCCTCTATTCTCTAGAATATAGAAGAATTAGAGGTGATCTTATAGAAACATATAAGATTCTTATGGGGCTTGACAGGGTAGATGCCGTGAGACTGTTTCCCCTGGTAGGAGAATCTAGAACTGGGGATCACAGTCTTAAGATTAAGGGACAGCCCTTTCGAACAGAGTTGATGAAACACTTCTTCACTCAGAGGATAGTGAATTTGTGGAATTCTTTACCCCAGAAGGCTGTGGATGTTCAGTCCTTGAACATATTCAAGACTGAGGTTGATAGATTTCTAAAGGATAGAGGGTTTAAGGGATATGGGGATAAGGCGGGCAGATAGAGTTAGGTTAGAAGATCAGCCATGATCTTATTGAATGGCAGGGTAGGCTGGAGGGGCTGAATGGCCTACTCCTGCTCCTAATTCCTATGTTCCTATGGGAGGAAGGGGGTGAGTTGGAGGGACTTCAAGATAGAGTGCCAGAGAACGGGGGCAGAATGGCTGAACGCTCACCAATCAAGCATTAGGAGTGAGTGTTAGCAGGTTATTGATTGCAGGAGATGATCGCAGCTCTGCAGAATCTTGTCCTCGCACTTTCTACAATTCCCAGTGATGTCAACAAAGGGGGAAACAGACAACAGTGAATTGGGGAAGTGGGTAATGAACAGTCCTGGTGTTCAGCCAGGTGACAAATGGCCTGGTAATGCTAGCCTGACCTGTGCTGATTCTGCTTCAGTTTATCACTGTTCCTCCCTCTAATCTCACGCCATCAATTGCAAACCTTACGTCCGTTCCAAAAATGTTAGTTTTACAAAAAGTAGTCTGTGAAAATTATGAATGGCCCATTAGCTGGACTGTGTGTCACCCTTTCTTAGGCTTGTTGAGTGTGTTAAACACTGTCAGCCTCCCCTCCGCAGCTCTCGTTGTTCCTGTGTTCCATTACAGGCGGCAGGAGGTGGTCGCTGACTGGTTTGATTGACAAGAATATTTGCAGCACAGAGAGAGCGAGCGAGAGAGAAAGCGAGTGGGATTGAGAGGGGCTGAATGTGATCTCAGAAAGCGAGGGTCATTTGAAGGTTAGCTGCCAGGGAAAGGGTTCAGTGAGAGTTCAGGCGCATATTTTAAGCAAATGAATCCTTTAAACCCAGTGACAGAGAGAGGGAGGGAAGGGAGAAGGCAGCAGAGAGGCTCCACTGCATCTTATTCACAACCACATAGCAGGGGAGACCGGAGGAGCAGGACTTAAACTCTGCAGTTTATTGTCACACGCAGCAGCCTGGCAATCACAGGGGCCTTTGATGGAGGTGTGATTTGGACTCTGAGCTGCTCTCTGAGAGGAAGGCGTGGGGAGCGGGGATGCTGCTGTGAGTGTGTGTGTTTGTTCGCTCTCGCTCTGTAGGGCTTGGTGCTGCTGTGGTATTTCAGTGATAAATGAAGAGTTGGATTGATTACAGGATCACGGCTTCACCAGCTGCAAGTGAGCATGATTCTGGGACCCAGATACAACAACAGAAACAAAATCAAACATGATCCCTCGTGCTAACTCTGGTCTCGTCCCCTTTTGACTGAGAGGTGCTGGTCCTGGGCTAATGCTAATTTGCAGCCTATCAAAGCCGGTCTGAAGGAAGCAAAGAGAGAGAGAGAACAGGGACCTGCGACTGTTTGCCTGCAGATCAGCTTCAGGGGCAGTTTGTCTTCTGCTCCCTTCTGTCTCATGATGTTTGACTGCATGGATGTGTTGACAGTAAATCCAGGACAGCTGGTGGATTTTTACTCTCAAAGCCCTTCCTGCCTGCTCCAGGACAAGGGATCCAGCCCACCCTGCTTCATTGGGATCGGACACAAAGACTGGCAGAGGCTTCCCCACCCTCAGTGTAGGTACCACACACTCACCACACTCACATTACATGTTTTGGTGAACTTTACTGTTCTTATTCTTGGATTTTCTGAGTAAATAAATACTGTTTGGATTAATTTGCCCACCACCCCATCTTGCAGAGTGATATTTATAATATACTCCTTGCATTTGATACAGCGCCTTATCACGTCGTCAAGACGTCTCAAAGCGCTTCACAGAATACACTGTAAAGTGGAGCCACTGTGGGTGAAACGCGGTAGCCAGTTTTATGCTCCGCTTCGCTGCCTGAACTGTTAAAATCTAATTGCTGAAAAGCTGTAAAAAGTAACTTTCAATTTACGAAGTAAGAAGTCTTGCAAAAAGTCTTGCGATTCACGACTTTGATGGTGGATTAGCAGAGAGTTGTGAATATACGTTAGTGATCCAACTGACTAATTCTCAGCTATGTGCCATTTTCCAAAACCTTCCAGACTGTCAGCATCCAAATGGAAACCTCAAACCCAGCTGTCTCCTTCCCCAATGGTGTAAGGGAGGAAAATTCTCTTTGCTAAACCAGGGAACCTCGAGAGGATTAAAGCGTTTGCTGCTCGTCTGTTCCCTTCCTCCCATGTCGAGTGTGTGCATTCCTGTACTATAACCAGACCACTTTGGTGTTGTGCTTGCAGGGCTGTCCCAACTGGAATTCATATTTCTCAATTTGTTGTATCTTTGCTGCGAGGGTTTCACGTCTAGGATATTTGTGTGTTTCTGTGAGTGAGATTTGGCAGAGTTCTGTTTAATCGGTTTTGACATTTCTTCCACAGCCGTTATTATTAGTACTTTGTTCTGGCTTCCTTTATCCTTGATTTGAATGTGTCTCCAGATCACTGAATAGAGGGCGTGTGCAGATATTACCGGCTCTTCAAAATTTGGCCAGTTTGCAGTTTTCTTAAATGCAGGATATTTAGTATGTGCTGAGGTGGGGTTAGTTGCATTGTTAATGGAATATCACACAAGCTTTTCCCTGTTGATTCATTGTTATTGTTTGGTTTTGCAGTTTGCTGCCGTAAATGATCCTGAGTTTAATGCACTCTTAAGGGGACACTTTTACTGCTATAACGTCATTGGCAAAAATGTTTCCTTATGTTTAAATCGAGAGCTGCAATGGTATCAAAGTTAGGAATGTGTCACTGTAATAATTCAGCTCTTTGGGACGTCCTCCCGACATGAAAGGCACTTTACAAATGTAATTTGGTATTGTATTTTGTAATCTTATAATAATCCTTGCATTTGATACAGAGCCTTATCACGTCGCTGAGACATCTCAAAGCGCTTCACAGGACATATTGTAGTGACTGTATGTTTTGTGTGGCATTGTTGTGGACCCACACGGTGTGATCTTAGCCACGTTGCTAACCTCTCTTCCTCTCCACATCGGCTGCCATCAGTCGCTCTTTGTAACAAATGGAATTTAGGATTACATTTTGGCAATGTGCTACCTGTTTACAGACTCACTCCCTACTCTGCTGAGAAAGTCTTTGTCCAGAATAATGCATGTATATCCCTTTCATACAAATCTTTCAAAAGTTTTGATCAGTAAATTTTAATGATTATTGTTCTTTTCGGCAAACCCTTCCCCAGAAAGTGCCGTCCTGAAGCAGCTTTCTCAGAGAAACCGTTCATGTGTCTTTTGTGTTTCTTAATGAACATTTTCCATCTTGTGCAAATTCCTTCTTCAAGAGACAAAGAAACAGAAATCAGTAGATTTCAAGTCATTTCCGGGAGTCGTCGTTTCCTGCCCCCCCCCCACTTATGCCCAACAAAACGCCCTGATAATAGTGGGGAGATGTGCTTCGAGCCACACTCACAAATGTTCTGCGTATGTAACCCCCTTCCTCCACCCCGATTTATTTCATTGATTTCTGTTTATGAATGGAGCAGATTTGACAAGCTATTGACTGCTCCAGAGGAAGTAGTTTATTTCATGGCTGTCTGTGTTGTCCTGATTACACTCCGCTGCCTGTTGTAGCTGAGATTGTTGGCAGATGTTTTTTCTCTGTCGTTGTCCAGGGCTGTTTTCTTTTAACTTCTATGTTGTTCTGAGGGCAGCTGGGTTTGGGCCTGTCATTCTGGGAGGCTGGAAATAGTGGAATTTTCATTGCACGTAGTAAAATGGTAAAAAAAAACTCTTAAGGGTGGGCTGATGGTATTGTGCGTTGACGGAAGCCTGTAGTGTGTGGAGTGATGGCCCTATTGTAAGATCCTCCAGCTAAGGAAGAGCCACCATTACTTTTACAATATCTTTCTGTTTGTGTTGCAGTGAAGGGGAGGTACAAAGGCAGTTAGTTACAAGATCAATCATTAATAAGATCAGGACTTAGTGTCGTCGGACTTTCACTCCTCATATTTGATCACTTTTGTGCATTCGTTGAAGTTGAAATGAGTCGAACTGAGCTCAAAGTTACGCCACATAGATCTTGAACACACAGCAGTGAGTAGGAATTTAGTTATCTGAAAGGAGTCAAGTTATTAGATATTTGTCTAGAAATACTGTAATATCAGCACTGGAAAATGATCTGTAATCACTTTGGTGCAATAATCCACACTCATTGCCCATTAGGTCACAAGGTAAATGCACAGAATTATATGGTGCTGAGGCAGACCGGAAAAGTCTCTAGCGTGAATACTGGTGTATCGTAGGGGCCTGTAACTCAATGGGAGCCCTAGCCTCATGAGTGAGAAGACCGGGGTTCGATTCCCGGCAGGGCAGGATTATTCAAAGGCAGTTAGTTACAAGATCAATTATTAATAAGATTATTCCCCACAGAAAATGATCCACCAATCAAATAGCAACCGGGTTCCTACTTACTGCTGGGTAAACAGAAGCATGTGGAGTAAGAAAACTTGCCCAACGTTTCGCCTGCCGGGAATCAAACCCAAGTCCTCTCACTTGCGAGGCGAACCCTCTAACCACTACATTACAGGACTCTGACCATAGTGGACTGCGTGTTCACCAGGACATTAAAGAGAGCATTGCACTGTTCAAATAGAAACCGTTTCTTCTGGTGTTCTGGCCCACAATCCCCCAGATAAAATTGGTCATTTACTTCATGGCTATATTGGAACGTTGCTACGTTCAAATTGCCTGTGGCGTCACTGCAGTTTCCGGTAACTCCTGTGAAGCGCTTTTTTGAGACATCTTGATGGTTGTGTTAAGGTCCTCTGCATATCAAGCACAAGGTGTATTAAGAGTTAATGTTCGCGGCCGAAAAAGACAATTGCAGTCTGTCAGGCCACAGTAAAAACAATCTCACAGAACCCCATCTCTCATACCCCACAATCCATTTTCTTTGCTAAATAACAATGGAATTTCCTTTTACATTTTCTGAGACAATCTGCTTCCACTGCCTGCTGCCTGGGTAGTTAATTCCACCTATTAACTGCTCCCTATGTAAAGTAGTTGAATCTGTAGTCCACCTTCCCTCTTGAGAGCTCCAGTCCAGTGCCACTTTAGAGTGTGTGACTATTTTAAACATGTTAGGAGAGATTAGCTTATCCTCACCCTTTAGGATATTGAATACTTTGCTACTTTCCTGAATAAATACACTTCAGAAGACACTTCAATCTTCTGCCCTGTCGTCAGCGTTTAAAGTTTTAATTGTCACCTCACTAGTGTGTTCGGCCACAGAGCAAAAGTTATCACCCGGAATCCTGGTGCAAGTCATTGATGGAAAGTCTGTAGTGGAACCTGGATTATTTGTGGAGTCCTGTAGCTCAGTGGTTAGAGCACTCGCCTCGCAAGCGAGAGACCTGGGCTTGATTCCTGGGCAGGGTGAAATGTTGGGCAAATTTCCTTACTCCACACGCCTGTTTACCTAGCTGTAAGTAGGAACCTGATTGTTAGTCGATTGGCGGATCGCTTTTCCAGGGGTAATAATTCCTTCAAAATAATAATAATAATAATTGGTCACTCAACCTACGACTGTTTGTGGGACGCTACTGTGCACAATTGACTGCTGCGTTTCGCCCACAAAATATACAGTTAATTCACTTTACAGTATATCCAGTGAAGAACTTTGAGACGTCTCGAAGACATGATAAGGCGCTGTATCAAATCCAAGGATTCTTATTATTTGTAGAAATAAAGACTTTCTTATTGTGGATACAAAATGGCAGTGGTTCCAATTAGGAGGAGTCACTAGCCACATACCACAGTCACCATAAAGTCTTCAATGTGGCTTCTCACTATCGCAGAATCTGAACAGGCTTGATTCCACTCAGATCTGTGTAGACTTTGCTCTGATGCAGAAGTGAGAAAAGCTACAAAAGTGTTCTTATAGGTGGTATAAAAAACCAAGCAGGGGAACAGAGTCAAATGGAGCCATACAGTTTAATAATAAAATAATAATAATCCTTGCATTTAATACAGCGCCTTATCATGTCTTTGAGTCATCTCAAAGCGCTTCACAGAATATTCTGTGAAGTCAATTGACTGTATATTTTGTGGGAGAAACACGTCAGCCAATTCCGCACAGCAGCGTTCAGCAAACAGTCGTGGATTGAGTGACCAAATTATTATTTTTAAAATGTATATTTTTTTGAAGGGATTATTACCCCTGGAAAAGCAGAATTATTAATTATATCACTCCTATCGCCTATTGATTTTCCAGTTATATCTTCCAAGTAGCTGACCACAACCAGTCCGAAATCACTGGTCACAAAGACTGATTAAAAATGCCCTGAATGTGTCTCATGTTAATAACTGATGAGAAATATTTATTAATAACATGAAATTTGGCAACAATTGCATTAAAGTGTCAGTGCAATGCAAACCCTCGACTGTCAAAACGCATCCTTGTCCTTTGGGAGACTGAGCTGGTGAGAGGCTGTCAGTCGTTGTCAAAAGGAGCGAGTTAATGGATCTGAGAATCAGTCTATAAAAAGGCTGAGGAAAAGGATTACAATTGTTAAAAATGTGTTTACTTTTCTGCCGCTTAGCTTGAACTGAAGATCATTATCCTCTGAACCATTTGTTGT